AAACAACAGCCAGATGTATACATAGTTATTGTTCTCATGATTTGTGTTTAACTCAAAGTCAGACACAGAGAGCTGTGTTGCCATCTAGATGTGTGCGAGTTTTCTCCATTTGACATGGATTATTCATGCGCCTGTTCTTCAACGGCGCAAATGCCTTAGGATTTTGTCCTTCCCATATCGTGGAAACTTGTCATTTTCATGATTGAAGCTGGAAATCATTTGTTGAACAAACGTTTTCCAATTTTTATCCAGAATGTAAGTGGGGTTTCAATCTATGTGTACCTTGCAACTAGGGACCAATGTTTCTGTATAGCTTGAACCAAGTGCAAATCTGTTACTATTCATATATAATCTCATCAATCAATATCTTTCTAACATAACAATCACTTGATTCAATCTCCACAAACATTACCATAAACCAACAGATTTTTTCCCAAAATTCTAATCTTTACAATAGAAATAAAGTTCAATCTGCAGAAAAGAAACTGTATGATACGGCAAGCAAATGTATAATCTTTTTGAAATTTGACAAAACTAATAAAACAAAGGAGGAGTTTGAAGTTGGAATTGCTTGAGGTGCAATCTAATTATGTTAGTCAAAGGACTTGTTAGCAGAAAAGAGAGAAATTTGTCAAATAGTTGAAGTTCGTTCTGTACAAAACATAGTAGTAACCTCTGCCCTTGTGGTCAGAAGACAAAATCTTTAGCCATTGGGGTTAGCTATACTCAGAGGTCTTGTGTTCGAGTCGAAAGGAGAGGTACCACATTTGTGAAATTACCTTGGTTGGTCTATTGAGTTTATAGGATGTTTCAAGGCTTTAAGGATTAGACAAGCTCCAATGTTGGCTGATACTTAAGACTGTGTTTGTTTTCCTATTCAAAATACTATCCTATCCAATTTTATCAAAATACATATTTGTTTCAATATTCTCAAAATCCAATCCTATTTTATTCAACTCAAAATATTTAATTTTTTTAACCTCTTAGGTAATTAATAACAAAATTTTATAAATTGACAAAAACACCTCCACCCACCCTCATATTACCAAAAGCCGGCCACCACTACTGAAAGGTGTCCGGAATGGAGCACAACCGATTGGATGTGGCCGGTCGTGCATCGATCTGGCATTTTTCGATCATATCCAACTAGTCGTGCGCCATTCTGACGACTTCCGACCATTGTCTGGCGGTGGTGGTTGGCTGTCGGCATTTAATGGGTGGGTGGGGGTGTTTTTGTTAGTTTTAAAACTTTTATTGTAGGGGGTATTTAGCTAAATTAACAAATGTAGGAGATTAAAAAATAATTTAAATATTTTCAAAAAATGTTTTCCAAAATTTACCAAACATATTTTTAAATTCAAATAATTTTCTTGTAATAATAACCCAATTCAACTTTTTCAAAATACTATTTTAAATACTCTACCAAACACAGCCTAAGATACCTAAAAAGATGAAAATAGTAGTAAAAGCTTCATTTGGTTCATTATTTGATGATTTTTAGAATAGTATATTGAAAAAAAAGTAAAATTGGGTTATTCTTACGAGAAAGGTAATTATTAATGTTTTGTGAGATGAATAAATTAGAATATGATTTTGAGAATATTGAAATAATTGCATTTTTTTGTTTTTATGATATAATAGTAGAACAGAATAGAGATATAATATTGAATCAAATGAAGCCTAAATTTTTCATTATTCTCAAAGGAGAAGATTATTCTTTTTACCAGATCCAATCACACATCTTATATTAAAAACAAGAGATCTTTCTCCATCAACCCCTTTGGCCCTCATTCTTCTAGAATCAAAAAGATCATTTTCAAGTTTGAATTTGTTCATTTGGAATCTGGGTTCTTCTACTTCATTTTTATTTACTTATTTCTTTATTTTTTTTTCCCTCTCTTTTCTTTTTATTTTTTTTTTATAGATTAATTAAAATATTAAAAATCATTGGCAATGAATTTGATTGTTTGAAGTAATATGTTGACCTTGTTGACAAGTATTTGTTTCTTTTTCTTTGTCAATAGTTATATTATGATAAACTGATACATGTTGTTGAGAATTCTCAATCAATTCCTCTTAACTTCAACTCACTGTTTCTCATTTTCCACTCTCTGGCAACTTGAGCTTATATGGTCAATCAAAATTCTGTATAAGATTATTTATAATTTTTTTTTTTTAATATTTTCTTTCCATTTTGAAATGGTTCAACTGTTTTTATTGTTTGCCTTGACTAAATCTAGATTTAAACATGAATTTTCATTTAATATTCAAAACGTGTTTTGTCAGTAATTTTCCTTGGAACAATAATAATAAAAGCAACCTATCACTATTTCCATATAGTATAAGAAAATATGCAAATTATTCTTCAATCATTCTAACTATAACACTGTTGAGTTTTATGAAGTATTGAACCTAGTTGTATTAAATATTTATATTTATTTGGTTTTTTTTTTTTTAATTATCGGGGGTATTTGGACTAGTTTATGTGCACCTCTATTAATTCACCAAGACGCAAGACGCAAGACCCAAAAACTATCCACCAAGTAAGAACATTAGTGGCTACCCCTATTAGCATCCGAAGAGAGAATCGAACTCAAGAATTTTTAAGTGATACATTCAATAGTCTTTATCAAACCAATCGGCCAACCAGAGATAGTTTATTTGGGTTGTTTTAACCTATGCTATAAAGGGTATACATTAAGAATACTAGAGAACAAAAAATTTAGCAATTTAATGTATTTGAAATTATATATATATATTTTTGGTATAAAATATATATTGAATAATAATAAATTTGTTATTATTTAGCATTCTTAACTTGAACCCTTAAAACATATGTAAACCCAAATTATATTGTTATTTTATGAAACAACATTACACCCGTTTGTATAAAAGAAATGAGAGAAAAGGGTTGATAGGTGAAACATTGATGTAAGAGCAAGTAGAAAGAAAGAAGAAAAGAAACGTGCAAGGATTAATTAATTTTCTTGTCTACCATTTCTACTTGCATTCCCTCAACCCTACACTTCATCTCCACCTTTCTTTTCTTGCAGCCACATTATCCGCTGGCACTATCAAACATATTGGTAGGAATTCGGTGAGAAGTTTGAGCATTTATGTGATACATTGTTGTAAGTTTGTTGAATGAACCTATCGATTTTGACGCGCTGAAATTTAATTATGAACTTAAATGAGTTGAGTCAATCACTTCAAGGGTCAACATAATATATTTCATTTCACACAACCAGCTCTGACACAGTCAGCTCATCATTTAACACTCATTTCGTTTTTGAGTTTTCACTATTGCCATTGGCCCTTCTTAAAAACACAAATATACCCGTCGATGTATTTTTTATTTTTTTTCTAATTATCGATATGTGTTAATCAGTTTATACATCTCGAATAATCTTTTAAGATTTTAAAATTATCAATTGATTAATAATTTTAGTGATCATCTCTATTAACAACCGAAAAAAAAAACGCATTAAATATCCTTTGAATAATGTACTCATCAACCTTCTCACTTTTGCCATTTAATTTATTTATAATTTTTATTTTCTTGTTAGTTTAGGTGAAGCCATCCATCCTCTATTTTTAGTTTCCCACAAATCCAAACTCTAAAGTTTGTTTAATTAATTCATTTTACATGACTTTTAAGTATAATTGAAGCCTTCAAGATAAATGCTATGATTCAATTAGCTCAAAATAAAATAACCAATTATATAATTAAGGAACTTTTTAGATAATGTTATTAAATAAGTTTCTTCGTAAAACGGGTTTCCTTATGAATTTATTGTGAAACATCTGCCTAATTTCACCTAACAATAACCATATAATAAGGGTTAAAAAATTAGAATTTTGATAAGTTGAAAATTATGTATATTTTATATTGAAATAAATAAATTAACGTGTGTCACTCTCTAAGAAAACTCGTAAAAGAAAAGTATTAAATTCCCCGGTATCATACAGGTATTGACAAGGAGATTTCATGACCAATTTGACAACTCTGTAAAGCCTGCTTGGGACCGACCAATCCAAAGCCTCATTTTGGGCTCTTTTTTCAAGGTATAACCACAAATAACTTTTTGACATATGTCACACTCATAAAAACTTGTGCTGATATTATTCTCATTGAAGATAAATACATATTTTAATTCCTAAAATAAAAATAATCTATCATTGATGGGTACTTAAATGTTAATTAAAATTTTTATATGTACTATTTAAAAGATTTTAAATTCGATTTACTTCAGTTGTTAATAGGGATGATCATATGAGGTTTATTTGATCTTTAATTTTAAAATCTTTAAAGATGAGTTGAAATATATGTAAATCGATTCCAATATTTTGATAAAAAAAAAAAAAAAAAAATAGAAGGACGTAATCCAGTCCATAGGCATCCAATGCCATAAATTTAATTTAATTGGTGCCCACATTCTGCTGTTGGCAGCGCATTGGAACGGGCTAGCTAAACCTCATAAATAACAGACTAAAACTTGTCCACTAGCTATACTTGAACAAAGACTTTTGGAAAAGTCTTTGCTAACCAGTAACCAGTGTTATCCGAGTGGCCGAAATCCCTCTTCTGCCCTTCTATTGGTTTATACTAATCTTGTCCGATCTGGGTCGTAACTCTACCAACAAAGAAAAATCCAATGTGTTAATAATAATACAATGTTAATTCATTCTCTTAATCCTAATTTTGTGAAGCAAAATCCATTATTTGAATTTAAAAAGCATGTTATTGGAAAGAAATCCCATATTATATTTCCCTCTTTCTTATTTTATTATAATCACACAATTATTTAATTAATACTCTACTGGTGAAGAAACAGGTCACCTGTGCAGTGCACCAAAGAGTGGCAAATTTCGAAATTGCATAGGGCCAAATGGGTCAATCAAACATCTATTAATGAAAAATAGATAAGAAAATCCCGGTTGGCAAAATTGAATGCTACGGCGGGTTAACAATTAAAAGTTCGTTGGGGTCGTTGCATCCTCCTCCCCCATACCCTCTCTTTTCACACCCTCTACTCTTTAAATTCTCCTCATACTTCGCCATATTCGTACCCCATTTCTCTCTCACACTTTCTTGCTATAACCTTTTCCTCTTTTCGTATACGTTTCTCCATTTTTAGTCTTTCATTAACACTTTTCGGGTTTCTTTAATTCTTCGTTTTGCTTTGTGGTGAGTTAATTAAAGATGGCCGGTGAAGCTCAGGAAAGAAGAGAAAATAAGCTCCCAAACTTTCTCTTGTCTGTTAGACTCAAATATGTGAAGCTTGGTTATCACTACTTAATCTCAAATGCCATGTATATATTGCTTTTGCCAGTTCTAGTCATTGCTTCGGCTCATCTTTCCACGCTCACAATCCAAGATTGTGTCCAGCTATGGAACCAACTACAGTTCAATCTTGTTACGGTCACTCTAGGTTCAAGTCTCATGGTTTTCTTGGCTACACTTTACTTCATGAGTCGTCCGAGAAAAATCTATTTGGTGGATTTTGCTTGTTACAAACCCGATTCAGAGCTTATATGCACAAGAGAGACTTTCGTGGAAAAATCCAATAATATTGGGTGTTTCTCAGAAGACAACTTAGCTTTTCAGAAGAAAATTATTGAACGTTCTGGTTTAGGCCAGAAGACCTACTTCCCTGAGGCCTTGTTGCGAGAGCCACCAAACCCGTGCATGGCCGAGGCCAGGAAGGAGGCTGAGGCCGTGATGTTTGGTGCTATTGATAAGCTCTTGGCGAAAACTGGCGTTAAGGCGAAAGATATTGGGATTCTTGTGGTGAATTGCAGCTTGTTCAATCCAACACCATCTCTATCGGCCATGATTGTTAACCACTACAAGCTTAGAGGGAACATTTTGAGCTATAATTTAGGTGGTATGGGTTGCAGTGCTGGACTTATTTCCATAGACCTCGCCAAACAGCTTTTACAGGTTAACTTCTTCTTTTAGTATTTAGTACTATTAATGTTAATCTATATCAAGCCTTTCTTGATTAACTTTACCCGTTTCTAAATAGGTAAGATTATTTTACATGTTCAGTAATTAATTAATACCTAATAATTTCCAACTCCAATCTGGTGGATTACCAAAAGAAAATTAGATTGAAGTTTGGCTGGAAACAGTAATTAATGTTAATTACAAGATCAGTGGCCTTTGAAATAAGCTTAGACCAGGTGGGGCTACATAACTGCGAACTAAATAGTTAATTAATGCTGCCATTCAAGTTCAAGGTGTACTTAATTTGGTCCCCTGTATGAGTTGATTGTCAAATATTTATTAGTCTACCCTAGCTGGAAGGAAAAACTTTTGAAATTAAAGGGTATTTGATCGTTCGTAAGAATGTTATTTATTTTGAAAAGGATATTCAACCAATAAAATCACAGATATTTACACTCTGTTCAAAGCTTAAATTGACCCATTACAACTTTTGATAAGTCAACCATTTCATATACTTGAATTAACGCCTTTATTTATTTTGTTTTGTAACAGGTGAACCCAAATTCCTATGCCTTAGTAGTAAGCATGGAGAACATAACTCTGAACTGGTACTTTGGCAATGACCGATCGATGCTTGTATCAAACTGCCTCTTCCGTATGGGTGGAGCTGCAATCCTCCTGTCTAACCGATCATCCGATCGTCGCCGTTCAAAGTATCAACTCATCCACACTGTGCGGACTCACAAAGGCGCCGATGACAAATGCTACGAATGTGTCTTCCAAAGAGAAGACGAAAACAGAAAAATCGGAGTCTCACTCTCAAAAGACCTCATGGCTGTAGCTGGAGAAGCCTTAAAAACAAACATCACCACACTGGGTCCATTAGTTCTCCCAATGTCTGAGCAACTCCTGTTTTTCACAACTTTAGTAGCAAGAAAAGTGTTCCACATGAAAATAAAACCATACATTCCCGATTTCAAGCTGGCTTTCGAGCATTTCTGCATTCACGCTGGAGGGAGAGCGGTGTTAGATGAGCTAGAGAAGAACCTTGAGCTGAGTGAATGGCACATGGAGTCTTCAAGAATGACCCTTTACAGGTTTGGGAACACTTCGAGTAGCTCTTTGTGGTATGAATTGGCGTACACTGAGGCGAAGGGGAGGATCAAGAAAGGTGATCGAACATGGCAGATTGCATTTGGTTCAGGATTCAAGTGTAACAGTGCGGTGTGGAAGGCATTGAGGAGTATTAATCCTGCCAAGGNTAGATAAGAAAATCCCGGTTGGCAAAATTGAATGCTACGGCGGGTTAACAATTAAAAGTTCGTTGGGGTCGTTGCATCCTCCTCCCCCATACCCTCTCTTTTCACACCCTCTACTCTTTAAATTCTCCTCATACTTCGCCATATTCGTACCCCATTTCTCTCTCACACTTTCTTGCTATAACCTTTTCCTCTTTTCGTATACGTTTCTCCATTTTTAGTCTTTCATTAACACTTTTCGGGTTTCTTTAATTCTTCGTTTTGCTTTGTGGTGAGTTAATTAAAGATGGCCGGTGAAGCTCAGGAAAGAAGAGAAAATAAGCTCCCAAACTTTCTCTTGTCTGTTAGACTCAAATATGTGAAGCTTGGTTATCACTACTTAATCTCAAATGCCATGTATATATTGCTTTTGCCAGTTCTAGTCATTGCTTCGGCTCATCTTTCCACGCTCACAATCCAAGATTGTGTCCAGCTATGGAACCAACTACAGTTCAATCTTGTTACGGTCACTCTAGGTTCAAGTCTCATGGTTTTCTTGGCTACACTTTACTTCATGAGTCGTCCGAGAAAAATCTATTTGGTGGATTTTGCTTGTTACAAACCCGATTCAGAGCTTATATGCACAAGAGAGACTTTCGTGGAAAAATCCAATAATATTGGGTGTTTCTCAGAAGACAACTTAGCTTTTCAGAAGAAAATTATTGAACGTTCTGGTTTAGGCCAGAAGACCTACTTCCCTGAGGCCTTGTTGCGAGAGCCACCAAACCCGTGCATGGCCGAGGCCAGGAAGGAGGCTGAGGCCGTGATGTTTGGTGCTATTGATAAGCTCTTGGCGAAAACTGGCGTTAAGGCGAAAGATATTGGGATTCTTGTGGTGAATTGCAGCTTGTTCAATCCAACACCATCTCTATCGGCCATGATTGTTAACCACTACAAGCTTAGAGGGAACATTTTGAGCTATAATTTAGGTGGTATGGGTTGCAGTGCTGGACTTATTTCCATAGACCTCGCCAAACAGCTTTTACAGGTTAACTTCTTCTTTTAGTATTTAGTACTATTAATGTTAATCTATATCAAGCCTTTCTTGATTAACTTTACCCGTTTCTAAATAGGTAAGATTATTTTACATGTTCAGTAATTAATTAATACCTAATAATTTCCAACTCCAATCTGGTGGATTACCAAAAGAAAATTAGATTGAAGTTTGGCTGGAAACAGTAATTAATGTTAATTACAAGATCAGTGGCCTTTGAAATAAGCTTAGACCAGGTGGGGCTACATAACTGCGAACTAAATAGTTAATTAATGCTGCCATTCAAGTTCAAGGTGTACTTAATTTGGTCCCCTGTATGAGTTGATTGTCAAATATTTATTAGTCTACCCTAGCTGGAAGGAAAAACTTTTGAAATTAAAGGGTATTTGATCGTTCGTAAGAATGTTATTTATTTTGAAAAGGATATTCAACCAATAAAATCACAGATATTTACACTCTGTTCAAAGCTTAAATTGACCCATTACAACTTTTGATAAGTCAACCATTTCATATACTTGAATTAACGCCTTTATTTATTTTGTTTTGTAACAGGTGAACCCAAATTCCTATGCCTTAGTAGTAAGCATGGAGAACATAACTCTGAACTGGTACTTTGGCAATGACCGATCGATGCTTGTATCAAACTGCCTCTTCCGTATGGGTGGAGCTGCAATCCTCCTGTCTAACCGATCATCCGATCGTCGCCGTTCAAAGTATCAACTCATCCACACTGTGCGGACTCACAAAGGCGCCGATGACAAATGCTACGAATGTGTCTTCCAAAGAGAAGACGAAAACAGAAAAATCGGAGTCTCACTCTCAAAAGACCTCATGGCTGTAGCTGGAGAAGCCTTAAAAACAAACATCACCACACTGGGTCCATTAGTTCTCCCAATGTCTGAGCAACTCCTGTTTTTCACAACTTTAGTAGCAAGAAAAGTGTTCCACATGAAAATAAAACCATACATTCCCGATTTCAAGCTGGCTTTCGAGCATTTCTGCATTCACGCTGGAGGGAGAGCGGTGTTAGATGAGCTAGAGAAGAACCTTGAGCTGAGTGAATGGCACATGGAGTCTTCAAGAATGACCCTTTACAGGTTTGGGAACACTTCGAGTAGCTCTTTGTGGTATGAATTGGCGTACACTGAGGCGAAGGGGAGGATCAAGAAAGGTGATCGAACATGGCAGATTGCATTTGGTTCAGGATTCAAGTGTAACAGTGCGGTGTGGAAGGCATTGAGGAGTATTAATCCTGCCAAGGAGAAAATTAATCCTTGGATGGATGATATTGGTGAATTTCCAGTTCAGGTTCCAAAGTTGGCACCTGTTGTATCTTCGTCTTCTTCTTAAAGCTTTCTAATTTTTATTTTGTGGGGGGAGTATGAGTGATTTATTTTAGAATACCCGACTTATATATGTAATGCTAGGGCTAACTATGCCAGATATAAAGATTTATTATTTTCGTTATATGATTATTCCCTTTATTTTTTTGTGTTTATTAATTGATGAATGTAATTTTATACATCTATATGATTGAACCATCCCTTTTCATTTTAATGGTTTACAAAGCTTCTGTTAATTGTATGCGAAGCCTTCGGGTGGACTATTCTCTTACCCGTTCAAATTTTCATAGAAAACCATCGCAACACAAAATAGAATTAAAAAGCTTCGTAAACCATCTATGAAACTGGGTACGGCTGGACTATTCTCTTACCCGTTCAAATTTTCAACCTGCAAGTTCGGTACCCGTCGTCGCCCGCAGCGAAGGTCATCCAAAATACAACTTTCATATGCTAGCTTTGGTTTAAATCCAAAACTAGTTTGGTATAATTAATAAATTGAATATAGATATGAAATGGGTATAAGTACAACAAAAAAACTCTATAAAATTTGCTCATATTTTATACTGATCTCCTCATTCTTAAGGTTTTCATTTTCATTATCTATAACAAGTCTTTGACGACATATTTATTGGGAAATATTGTACAGTTAAAAATATTATATGATACTACATAACAAAGTCGAAATGTTTGGTTGAAACTTTATATTGTATTTATTAAACACAATGTACAAATATATAATGCAAATTCATTGTAGTTTATACCAAGTAAAAGGGTGATTAAGGGATGGATTATATTATATTATTTTATTTTATTTAAACTTTTTGATAATTTTTATTTAATAAATAATTAAATAATTGCTTAAAATTTAATATTATTTTATTGAAGTTAAAATTTAAGTTTTTAGATGAAATATTAAAGGTAAATAAATAATTGCTTAAAAATTTAATAAAAAAATAAATATAAGTTAAGATAATAATACAGTATAATGAAACATAAAATATGTTATTTATATTTCGTAAGACAATCTACAAATATATAGGAAAGAACACTGAACTGACCTAATTTTACGCATATCACACCAAATTAACATGCTCAAGTTAATATGGGATTAGAGATGTACTTAAATAAGCTTAGTTTCGTATTAAATACACAAAATCGGTCAAGCTATCGTGCATCTAATGAAACAAAATGCCTTGCCAAACAAGTTGAAGATTGGGTTCAAGATATCTACAGATAAACCCGGGTTGGCTTGATGGTTAAGGAGGTTTGCTCCATTTCTTAAATTTTTGGGTTCAAATCTTGAGGTCACCTAACTAACCTAACTTTACACATATCACACCAAATTAACATGCTTAAGTTAAGATGGGATTAGAGATGTATTTAAATAAGCTTAGTTTCGTATTAAATACACAAAGTCGGTCAAGCTATTGTGCATCTAATGAAACAAAATGCCTTGCAAACAAGTTGGAGATTGGGTGCAAGATATCTACATTCTTAGGTTCAAATCTTGGGGTCACCTACTATAACAACATTGTAACTTACCTAATTATTTGAGTTTGTAAAGTGTTCAATAGATCTCAAAGATTAGTTGAGATACACGTAAATTGACTCAACCAACCCGGTAAAAAAATAAAATAAATAAAAGATATCTGTAGATTGGTGTAGGTCCAGTTGTGGGCTGTAGTTTATTAAAAAAGTTTGAACCCTCTGAAACTAGCATGGGCTTAAGAAACGGGCTTGTCTAATCATTCGTATCTTAAACCTTGAATCTAAAAAGAATTTATAATATACATTATAAAAGAGAGTAACTTTGTAATGTTACATTAATTTCTACGATAATTAAAAACAATTTCTAAAATTCTTATTCCTACTCATGGATTAATATTTTATGTCTCAATAAACTACCCTAAATTAATTAGTTAGTTAACTTACCATCTTATGAACAAATTGTGATTTAAACGTTAGTGATAAAATTAATGGCAGTATGTGTGTCAGTATGTGTAATCACATGAAAATAGTAATGTTAATTATTGATGGCATGTGGACTGGTAACACCTTATATATTATATGATATTCTTTCATCTCTTTGTCTATTCAACCCATTTACTCCACTATCCTTTTCATTTCAGTTTTTGGTTGATTTGGCGTTATTAATATTACTTGTATCCTTAATTTCCAATTATTTTTCACCTCTTTTTATATTATATTACTCAGCTGGGTGCAATTAATAGTATAAAAATGGCTAGTGAGAAGCAAATTTATTTGTGAGAATAGGGTTTTTCTGTTTAGGCATTCAGGACGGATTTATCATTTATAACCAGTTTTAATTAGAAGATGGTAGGAAAATGCATTTAATACATCTTAACACTATATGTATATTTTGAAAATTGAGTGAAACATGATTTTAATAAAGGGTAATACAATACTTATATAATTTTTTTACACTATTTTGTAAACATCATGATGTGGTCTATGTTATAATCATATAAATTTTATTATAATATTAAAAATTTAAAATAATTAAAAAAATTATGTTAAAGGATGAAGTAAAATTACTCTTTAATAAATTATAACAACTTAACTTGATGGTAAAATGGTACGGAGCTGTGCCTGTGCGGCTGACGGCTGGGCCTCCACAGAGTACTGACTATCTTAATTCTTATGTCATGCGCCTAGAAAATAAGCCAAACACTCGGCTGTTTGAAGAAGTTGCTTGTGCCGTTCTGCGCTGCCTGTCGTTGACAAACGCGTCCTATACTATATATAATATTCCCTTCTTTTTTCAAGAGGCTACGTGTTGGTAAATAATAATTAATGTTAATTAGAGCTCACCGTCGGTGATATTAACTACAAACATTCAATTTTCAGCTGCCCAATCCAGTGCATTTACCCCACTACCCACTGTTTTAAACAATTTTAAGAAGTTGCTTCATTTGCTTTGCACGAAAACAGAACATGTGATGCATAGATGATAACTAATTAAGTTATGCATTTTTTCACATAAAATTATAGACAATAAAGATAAGTTGACAATCTGACTATTGATAGTTTTTAATTAATTCATCTGATAGAAAAACTTATCAGAAACAATTATCAGTTGTTATATTGTGTTTGTAAGAGAAAATTTATGAAATTCGTTTGTCATAAGATTACCCAATTAGAGAATAGATATAAGAAAAAGTAAACGATATTTTCCCACCTAAGGTTTGGCGAATTGCAAGTTCCCAACTTTGGTTTCATATCATAAGATTACGCAATTAGAGAATAGATATAAGAAAAAGTAAACGATATTTTCCCACCTAAGGTTTGGCGAATCTGCAAGTTCCCAACTTTGGTTTCATAAATTGTAGATTCTCACCCTTAAATTAACAGATAAATCTAACAGTTAAAGGGTAAAATAATCATTTTAAAGATGAAAATTTCAAAATAACCATTTACTTCCCAAATTCACCCCACCAAAAAATTTCAAAATAACCATTTACTTATCTAATTCACCCCATCGACGATTTCAAACTATTCCGGCCTGTTTCCAGCACAATCGACCCCTCTTGACACCACTATTACAATCCCTTCAACCCCTACNCCAACCCAGGTCGTAGCAATAATGAAAGGAATGGGATCTGCTGTCAAGTGGCCTGGTAAGCTCAATCCCGAGGCAAGGAGAGACACAACCAAGTGGTGCGAGTTCCACAACGATCATGGGCACAACACCGCAGACTGCATCGCCTTGTGGCTCGAGGTTGCCGCACTTCTGAAGAGAGGACATCTCCGTGATCTACTCACCGACAAGGGGAAGAACACCATTAGCCAGAAAAACTCCAAACAACAGTCGCCCCCTCCGCGAGAACCCACACCGAAGGGTTTCTGCTCGCTAATCTCCGGAGGATCAGAAATCAGTGGGGTTAGTTACTCATCAATGAAACGACATGCTAGAACTAACCGTCATGAAGTCCAATCCATCCACCCGGTCTCGAGGTCATACTCCCATCAGGTAATTCAGTTTGAGGATGACGAACCGATCACCCTAGCCACTCCTCACCACGACGCTTTAGTCCTCTCCCTGCAAATAGCCAACATCCTAGTGAAAAGAGTGTTCGTAGATGAGGGTTCGTCAGCAAATATTCTATTCCTCGAAGCGGTCAAAGCAATGGGACTGGAAGAAGCAAATATCAACAGACAACCGACACTGCTAGTTGGATTCAGTTCGGAGCAGAAATACACTATCGGGGAGATCATCCTTCCTATCTATGCTGGCAGAGTAAACAAACAGACAGTCTTCCTGGTGATCGACTGCCCATCCTCTTACAGCATCATTTTAGGCCGCCTCTGGATCCACGACATGCCGGCAGTCCCATCTACCTTCCACCAGACAATCAGATTTCTGACCAAGTGGGGAGTACGGGAGATCAAGGGTGATCCTAAAGCTTCCAGGGACTGCTACAAAAACGCCTTCAAAGGCACAGGAAACTCTTCATAGCAATTACAGTCTCGTCCAACCCCTCGAACAGAGCCTGACCAACCGACCATGGAGGAGCTGGATGAAGTGTAGATACATCCGGATCACCCAGAGAGAAAGACACACATAGGCTCCCGCCTCGACCCCGAGACAAGAGAGGAGCTGATAGGATTTCTAAAACGGAACAAAGACTGTTTCGCCTGGTCCCATGCCGACATGACCGGAATCAATCCAGACGCAATGGTCCACCAGCTCAAGGCAGATCCGGATCACCCGCCAGTCAAGCAGAAGAGGAGGAAATTCGCACCTGAACGGAACCAGATCATCANCAAGTTCCCAACTTTGGTTTCATATCATAAGATTACGCAATTAGAGAATAGATATAAGAAAAAGTAAACGATATTTTCCCACCTAAGGTTTGGCGAATCTGCAAGTTCCCAACTTTGGTTTCATAAATTGTAGATTCTCACCCTTAAATTAACAGATAAATCTAACAGTTAAAGGGTAAAATAATCATTTTAAAGATGAAAATTTCAAAATAACCATTTACTTCCCAAATTCACCCCACCAAAAAATTTCAAAATAACCATTTACTTATCTAATTCACCCCATCGACGATTTCAAACTATTCCGGCCTGTTTCCAGCACAATCGACCCCTCTTGACACCACTATTACAATCCCTTCAACCCCTACATCAAAATCCCTAACCTCCCCGACTGATTGAACCCCCCAATTGTCGGTCGTTGCTTTTAGTTTCAATTGGCATTTCATCCAAATTTTGCAAGTCCTACATAAAAAACCACCCCCAAGACCACCAATAACATCGTCAGCTTCCCCCCACCAAAAACCCCAACATTTTCGATTGCAATTGCCCATCGATCACTGTTGCCTCTCCTTTAGGTTTTTGCATTTTTTTGCCCCTTTCCAGCCAAATTCCAACACCTTGCCGAGGTGAAATCAAGTGGAAAAGTTAGAGGTTTTGGTGAAGAGGATAAGGGGATGCTGATGGTAATGTCGGGGATGTCCAATGGTGCTGGAATCAGGCCGAATTCTTGGCTTGGCCGGGATCCTCTGGGGCTTATTTGAGATGTAGGGGTTATTTTGAGAAAAAAGTAACGATATTAATTTAAAGATGGAAATCTTCAATTTATGAAACCAGGGCTGGAAAATGTTGTTTACTCTATAAGAAAACACCCTGCGCTATTTCCTGAGCCAGTTGGAGAGACGGTGAATTGTCACCTTCCAATTTAAGTTAAAGTTTTCTGCTAAAAGTTTTGGTCTTATGAAAGTTTTCTGCAAAAAGTTTATCTAATTATACTGTTAGTAAAAGTAAAACATATATGTTGATGTTTGATTTTGGACACCAACGACTCGCATGTGCAAAGTGCTAAGAGAGTCCCAGAAATTACACGAGATCGATCCATGAGATTTGAATATGGTACTGAGATTATATATGTTGCAGAAACATAAATAATAGACTGACAAGAGAGGTTTTTATAATGGTTTAAATGCTTAAAGCAAATCCTAAGTTCTATGATATTGCCCGTAAGGCATACAAAGATAGAGAAATACTTTGTTTACAGAGAGAAATAATGAAGCTCAAATTTATGTCTAGCTTTCATCTGCCTAGCCTTCTCTTTTCGTGAAGAGGGGTGCTCATTTATACATCTTTTAGGTCAATGTAATGAGTGCTTCTACAAGTTGTCATGACACGTGAGAACCACTTCTTAATCCTTATCTTTTTATTTTGATAAAGTTGGGACAAGTGTGCGGTTCTTATCCACTTATAGACAAAACTTGAATCTGTTGGGTTGGTGAAAGCCGTATCTCTTCTGTCTTGGGGTGATGTGGCAACTCTTGGATGGTACAAAACCTTCCTGAACTCTGATTGGTTCTCTTCTGTCTTGGGGTGATGTGGCAACTCTTGGATGGTACAAAACCTTCCTGAACTCTGATTGGTTGGCGCTGACATAATTGTGATTTGTTAGGCACAACAATATACATTGTAAAACAGTACAGTTAGATAAACTTGTTATTTAAATATACCCAATTTCTTCTGGTTTTGATGATGTTTTTATGATGGATATGTAGGCACATTAAAAACTTCAGCAGGGTAGTTGCTCACTGATTTCTCCGCTATAAATTCCCATATCGGCTGATATGCATATGCTTTCAAGCCACTACTATCTCGCTTATTTCTTCAACTTTGAGATTGTGGTGTAGACGTGGAGTCTCTATATACTGCTACTACCTTGCTTAAATTCTCGCTTGTGTTTTATCTTTCTTTCGCTTCAGGTATTATATTGCTTTAACTTGGATTCTCTGTTCATTTTTACTTCCAAATTACAAAATACAATCTACGTTTTCTGAGAGACTCTTATTTTCATTGTTTTTGTAGCCTAGCTAGCTAGAAATGGCAAGTGAAAAGGAACGAAATGTGGATGACAATGATCAAGTATGTCAAAGAAGGAACTTCTTGCTATCCGTCAGACTCAAATATGTTAAGACTGGTTACCACTTTTTAATCTCCAACTCTCTATATCTACTGCTTATTTTGGTCCTGTGTATTATCTTGAGTCATCTGTCAACACTAACCATTGATGAAGTCCTTCAGCTCTGGAACAACCATGTAGTGACTATAGTCGTGTCTTGTGTTACTTGCGTTTTAATATTTATCATTTACATGATGACCCGTCCAAGAAAAGTTTACTTGGTGAACTTTGCATGTTATAAGCCTGAACCAGCACGGATGTGCAGTAAAGAACATTTCTTGAAATTATCTGCACGAACTGGGAAATATACAGAATCAAGTTTAGCTTTTAAAAAGAAAATCCTTGAGAGATCAGGGGTCGGGCAGAGGACTTACGGGCCGAAAGCCTTGATGGAGATCCCTCAAACCCAGTCTTTGGTGGAGGCTAGGAAGGAGACAGAAACTATCATATTTGGAGCAATTGACGAGCTCTTTGCAAAAACTGGAGTGAATCCTAGAGAGATAAGTATTCTGGTGGTGAATAGTAGCTTGTTTAATCCAATACCATCTTTATCAGCCATGGTAGTGAACCGCTACAAGCTGAGAGGGAATATTTTGAGCTATAATCTAGGTGGTATGGGCTGCAGTGCAGGACTTATTTCTATTGACCTCGCCAAACAACTTTTACAGGTTTATTGCTTTCTGCCATATTTATGTAAAATCTATATACCAATCAATGCAGCATGTCACATAACGTCATAACCTTTATTTTTATTTTTATTTTTTTTCTCAATAATTCTAAACCAACATGTAAATGAATTATTCGAGAGGTTCGGTTTCAATTTTTTCAAATATATATGTGCTCTTCTTTTGTTAATTCTTGTAATTAGATAATATTATTTTCTTTTATGTTTAAGTTTGGTCGATATTTTAATAAATAAGAAAAGATGTACTATGTACCGAGAAGATGTTTGGTTTTTATTTTAAGGACTTAAATCTAACGTACAACATCCTTAATTTGATTGTAATAGGTGCACCCCAACTCCTGTGCTCTAGTTATGAGCACAGAAAACATCACTAAGAACTGGTATCCTGGCAATGACCGATCGATGCTTGTCACAAACTGCTTATTTCGACTGGGTGGTGCTGCCATCCTCCTATCCAACCGATCATCGGATCACAATCGCTCCAAGTATCAACTACTTCACACCCTTCGCACCCACAGAGGTGCAGATGATAGATGTTATAAATGTGTCTTGCAGCAAGAGGATGAGGCCCAACAAATTGGAGTCTCACTCTCAAAAGACCTTATGGCTGTTGCCGGAGAAGCTCTTCAAACTAATATCACTAAACTCGGGCCATTAGTTCTTCCAATGTCAGAGCAACTTCTATTCGTTGCAACTGTAGTCGCTAAAAAACTTTTTAAAATGAAGATTAAGTCATACATTCCCGATTTCAAGTTGGCTTTCGAACATTTCTGTATTCATGCAGGAGGAAGAGGAGTGTTAGATGAATTAGAAAAAAGCCTTGATCTCAGTGAATGGCATATGGAGCCTTCAAGAATGACTCTTTACAGGTTTGGGAATACTTCCAGTAGTTCTTTGTGGTATGAACTGGCTTATTCTGAGGCCATGGGGAGGATGAAGAAAGGTGATCGAACGTGGCAGATTGCATTTGGTTCAGGATTCAAGTGTAACAGCGCTGTGTGGAGGGCATTGAAGACCATCAAACCAAGCAAGGAGAAAAATCCATGGATGGATGAAGTTGATATGTTTCCTGTTCTAGTGCCGAAATTTGCATCAATTTCTTTCTAAATTAATTACTCTAGTTTCTTCTATTTCAGAGGGGGATAGTTTGTGCCAACTACTTTTAATATTATGTCTACTTTTGTGTGTGTAAAGACCATATGGTTGAATTTGATATTTAAGTTAATGAGATATTAAATAGGGACCATGTGCAAAGTGTAGAGAGAGAAGATATCTTCAACTAAATCGATATCTCACTGCTTCATGTTCAATCGTCAAACTCTTTAATGAATCTTAGGTTTTTTTGTTTTTTTTTTTAATTTAAAATTCATTTATAGATCCTACAATAGAGAAAGATATATACCTGAAATTGATATAAATTTTTTCTGTTCAAGCACCAAAAGTTGCACAATATATAGGAGGAACTAGGAAGAGTTATGTCAGATGAACTTGAGAAAAACTTTGCACTCATCAAATGGCATGTGGTGGAGCCTCCAAGAATTAATGACTCTTCATATTTTGGGAATACTAGTTCAAGAATGGCTCACTGTGTACCCTTTTTTGTGTTTAAGACTAAATATATACATAGTCATAGTTGGTTAGAAGCTAGAAAATGTGGTCTTTGTCTTTTCTTCTGAGAGAGAAAGTCCTTATGCTTTAATTTGAAGTGCCTTTAATTAATAACATGCATAGATTAGATAAGAGTCCATGTGCTATGTTGTTTCCAAGCTATACATATATGGCATACAATTAATTACACGATTAATACTAAACTAATCTTGAACTAGATGGATTTCTTTGAACCAATATTATCATTAGTTAGTAAATTATATGCATAGTAAAACAGTACTAGTTAAATAAATTTATTATTTAAATATATCTAATTCTTTTGATTGGGTTAGGATCATCATTTAATCTGAAATTTTTAGAAGTACTTTTAAAGATTTTATTATATTTGTATATATATATTAATGATAATATATATACCTAAAAAATCAAAGCTGATGTTAGCCTACGTCAGCAAGCACCAATTAGAGTTCAGGAAGACTTTGCACCGTCTAGAAGCTATCACGTTGCTCCATGATAGAAAAAATATGATTGTCATCAACTTAGTAGATTTAGGTTTTGTCTATGAGTGATTGAGAACCGCATATCTGTCCTTGCCCCAGATAATTTGAGGATATTTCCTAAGTTATCAGCCAATGGGAGTTAAGGAAGGACTTGCACGACACCTACCCACTTGTAGATTTTTAAGCATTACCATGAATTCCTCTACTATAAATAGATGACTCTCTCTCTCATTTTCAGGATGCCGATACTGAACTCTCATTCTGATTGTAATATTTATTTTTAGAGCAAAGATAACCTACAAGAAAGAGACTGACTCGATATTCTCTCCAAATAATTAGTTATTGTACCTCTGTTTGTTGTTCGCTATACGTGACCTCTTGTACTCTCTCATATATAAAAGAAATAGTGGATGTAAGATTTGCTTTAAGCATTCGAACCACTTTAAAAATCATATCTCTCATTTATTATTTAGTCTTTGTATCTGATTATAATAGTTCACATGTAATTTCTAAGAATAGCTTAGCACTTTGCACATGCGACTCGTTGGTGTCAAAATTAAGCATCAACAGTTTGACGCTAGAAGGAGGGCTTGATTTTATATCTGCTCTTCATTTAGAATCTTTGCTCAATCAGTTCTACTTGTGAACAAATGGCTCGTGGTCTTGAAATCAAGCGAACTAGCACCAACAACGAGGAAATCCCCTGGGTACAAGATGTTACTTCTCCTGAAATGCCTCCAATTCCTCAAGGTACCACAGCGGACATCCTCTTGACTTCTTAGCTCGATCTAGTTGTGATGAATTACCTGGAGAGGTTTAATAATACTCTCCAAACAGTTAACCGAATGTTAGATCATTTGGATAAGGTCGTACCATCCAATTCTGACAAGGCGATACCACTTCCAAAAACGCCTGTAGGTCGCGCTAAAGCATGGAAACAAGAGAAAGCTCATACCATGCATACTATAGCATGTAAAAATAAGGGAAAACATGTGGCTGACGAAGGGCCAAAAGGCTCAAGGCCAGTGAATACCAGTCGTGAGGCAGGTAAAATACCTGTGGCTTTGCGACTTGACGATATGTCACATCATGAGCTGTCTCATGCCACATCGCATGGGCACCCCCACAAGAGTGCCTGGCATGGAGATTCTTGCTTTCGCCAGAATGATGGTTTCGACCATCACTGCGAGGGAAATACCCACCGAATGCGGGTCGATTTTGACCACCGTAGAGGTGGGGATAGCTCCCCCAGCCATTCAGTGCCTTCGGATGGCTCTAGCCAGCATGTGTCAAGATATGCTGGAGGCTCCGACCGGGGCAAGAAAGAGTTTGATCTACGGTCTTTCCTTAATTGCAATCGTGGGGAGCAAACCCATATTGCAAAAAGTGATCCTCAAGTGGCTTCGCTTCCTCAGATTGAGAAGTTACAGCGAGTTCTAGATCAACTTAGAGCTTAGCAGAATGAACGAGGGTAGGTCGCTGAGGTGTCTCCTTTTTCTCCAGCAGTTTTGACTGCTTCTCTCTTGTTAAGATTTAGAATGCCCGATATGCGAGCATTCGATGAGAATTCTGATCCACATGATCATCTCTATGATTTTAATGACCCTATGGAGCTTCACCAAGTTTCCAACTTGGCGATATGTCACTGCTTAGTAGTGACTCTTACTGCCTATGCTAAGCGTTGGTTTAGATCGCTTCTGCCAGGATCTATCAACTCATGGCAGTAGATGAGTTTGTTGTTTTTGAGACACTTCCAGGCTAATAGGAAGTTCTCAATGCCGTTGAGTTATCTGAGCAACATACGGCAAGAGAGGAATGAATCCCCCCAGTCCTATATCGATAGGTTCCATAAGAAGCTGAACAAGGTGGCTAATACACCCGAAGATTCAGTTAGAACTTTTATTATTGTGGGAGTTCACCTGCAAACTGACCTATGGAAGAAACTACAATTCGAGGATGATATTGTTGGGATTCATGCATTTTGGACATAGAAATGGTGTAACATGGATGAACAAGATGATGGATGCAATGTAGAACACAAACATAACACATAAGCCCAAAAAATTTCAAGGTAAGGATGAAATATTACCTACTCCTTTGCAATTCAACACTTGAATCTTCTTTCTTGGAAGCTTAGTTCTTCAAGTGAAGTTGAAGAACCTCAAAATGTGATCCACACAAGTCAAGGAAGAGAGAGCCGTGAGAGTGAGAGAGAAAATGAGAGAGTGATTTTGCTTTAATTGATTCAATTCAATTAAAATGGCATAAAACTTAATTTATATACCATGGGCACAAAGTGTAATTTTAAATTATTTTGGGAAGCCCTCAAACAATTTAAAATTAACTTGAGAATAAACATTTATGTCAAGTCCTTGGTTTTATGGTTAATACATAATTAGACCAAATTTTAATTCTATTAAATATTCTAACCCTTTAGAATAAAACCAATGCACTTTTGCCCCCATCATTGAATCCAATTCAATAATAATATTTAATAAATCCTTATTACCCTTGGTTAGTGCTAGCTATTCATGGATAATCATTTCTCACCAATACATTAATTCGGATGCAACTATTTACGTCCGAACATCATTAATCTAATTAATGATATGTATTACTCTCTCTCCTTGAGCTTGGTTTTATGTGTGACCATTTTGGTTCACTGTGATCTAGCCGTAGGCCCAATATCAGATTTTGATATGTTTCGTTATAATTCTTTATAATCGAAACTCCTACTGATTATGGTAGACATTTAGCAATGTTCCATACCCCCTAAACCACAATGAAGTGTAAACTCCAATGAACCTATTCTGATCGTACGTACCGTGTAGTCAAATCCCTACGTTATCTAATCCCGATTAAGAATGGTTCATGGTATGTCAAAACCTGTAACTTAATCTTTAATCGAATTGTTAATCGATACAATAGAACTCGTCAACATGAAACTACTTTTCATCTGACATTTATTATACTCTGGCTAGAGATTTCCATTTTCCAATGTTTATTGACATTCGTTTGGGAACTCGAGATTGGACTATTTTGAGTTAACGGATCCCATCTTGACCATCACTTGTCCTCGCACATGAATAACATATGACCAAACTGGCTTATTACACAAGACATGATTAGTCTCGTGCTTATACACCATATGAACCATATGCATCCTATGTTGAATCCAACCGTGATGTCTCAGGTTTAAGGATCAATGGTACACTAGCACGATCCTACGATGCATCATTGAGCATATCCATGTGATTCATCGTAATCGGTCATATTTGATAAACAGTTCACTAACCGTTTATCCATGTTAATGCCTTAGTGACATACCTCTTATAATCACCCACACTAATACCATCACATGATATTCAATGGAGAAATTCAGCATGTCTACTATGCAATGTTATTGCCCAATTAACATTACTTGCGTAGGGAATTCTTTGATGATTTGATCTTCTGAAGATCCGTGTCATCTAGACATTTCACATGCAATATTAAATATAATATAATATAAATGAAGCAGAAAATCAACATGTGAAATAGGAACAATTTATTTGATTCATAATACATTTACAAGATATAATGTCCTGAAACTGACAACACGATTGGTTCCTAGGGCATACACTAACAGATATTTCCATCACCCGCTTCTACAACCACACTGAGAAATATCTTAGAATTAAAAATTCAATGACTGCTTTGAATCACCATGACCCCGGTCTTTCGACCAACGCTCCCAGTCGGAGGGAGGAACACCGGGGAGAGAGTAATAGATGGCCTGATCGCAAATGGGCTAATGATGATTAGAGAAAGGGAAAGAAACAACGGTTTGAGCCTAAGAAATCTTATGCCCAAGCTCGTCGCGATCGCGACAAGAATCAATATACTCCATTGAATGCATCAGTATTAGCTATTCTGGACAAATTAGAAGAAGCTAATCTACTTGGAGAACCAAAGCCCATGAAAAATCCCACTTCAAAAAGAAACATCAAGAAATATTGTCGTTATCATTGGGATAATGAGCACCATACCGATGAATGCCGAGCTCTTAAGCAAGTTATTGAAGACCTCATTAAAAA